TGAGGCATTCTGCTCTGGTCAAGATTCACAGCCCTGGAGCCCCGGGGAGCGGTCCTGCTCCATCCTGTGGACTGCTGTGAGCCTGGGTGACTTGCTGGGAAGGGGGTGGCATTTTCTGTTCACAGATCCCCTCCCATCAAGGTAGAGTCATTCATTCACAAGCCAGCACCAGCCGGGGTCTCCCCGGGGATGCTGCTCCAGCAGGGGCCAGAAAGACACCCCCCCTTGAGTCCCTGGTACCTTTCACCTTCTGTCTGAGTCACCCCTTCTTTCACTTCTCCCCCCAGTCCTCCACCCCCGGCTCTCCCTAGACCACCACCCCAGCTCCACACCCTCTCCCTGAGGTCATGCAAGTGTACATGGCATGTCCCTGTCTGACCCCTTCCTTGGCAGCTTTCCTTACACCGAGCACCAGGTGTCCGCACCCTTTGTCACTGTGTTCTGGTTGTTTCCTTCCATTGCCCGTACTCTGGGTGCCCTGACCCCTGAGGGTCTGTTTCATCGTTGGAGGCCTTTTGGTCTCACACGGATGCCTTTAGAGTTGAGTACCAGTCTCGAGAATACTAGCCCCTATTTTGGGTGTCTCTCTGCTAGCTCACTGGAAGGCAAGCTCATGGACTAGACTGGCTTGGTTTCCCAAGTGTGAAGGGTGTCTCGGGACAACCGTCTCAGGGAGTCCTCTGTCCCAAGTCCTGTCTGGTCTCTGAAAAGCTGGGTTGATTTGTTGGAAAGAATTTGAGTTATCGCGCCCCATTTTCCTCCTGCCGTAGTGTGACCCGTCAGAATAGCTTGTAGCCGGGCACCATTCGGTGCTCCCGTTCTCAAGCAGATGAGGTCATGACGTGAGGTCGTGGCTCTCTGAGGTCATCTTCTCTGAGCTTTGGGTGACTGTCTTGCTCTTTTGCTCTTAAAGAGCACAGACCAGAACCTGCGTCTTTGGTGGCCGCTCGCAAGCTTTCAGGACCCCAATGCTACTCAGGTCACTAGGACCCGCAGCTCTCTTAAGAGCTGTCTGCCTCGCTGGGCCAGGAGGTGAGGATTGGGCCTGCTTTGCTGATCAGGCTCTCCCCCTCCTTCCTCCCAACGCCCCTCAGCCTGCCTCTCGCATCACCCTCCCATCCCACCCACTCTCTTCCTGGTGGCAGGCATCCATGACCCCCACAGGGGGCACACGGCCCCGTGTTCCTCAAAGCTGTGGAACTTTGCCCGCCATGCCCACTCCTGGCT